CCTCTACCTCTACCTCTACCTCTACCTCTACCTCTACCTCTACCTCTACCTCTACCTCTACTTCTACCTCTACCTCTATAACTACATCTACTTCTACCTCTACCTCTATAACTACATCTACCTCTACATCTACCTCTACCTCTACCTTTAACCTTTTGCTCTACCTCAGCCAGTTCTTTATTAAGTTTCTCTCTCGCTTACAGCTCGCAAACTTTTGGATCCCCTGGGTCTGCCCATAATGCGTAGTGATCTGGACATTGACCAGCTACTGCTGGCCACATCAAAGCCTCGCACCTCCAAGATCGAGAGCATTCTGGACATGTTTGTGGCCGCTCAGCATACGGTGCACATATTGCGCGCCGTCGAGCCCCATTTGCGCTTCGGTCTCGATGTGCGAAATCATTTGGCCCGGGGCGGTTCACTGCCCCCGACGTTGCCCCAGTCGTGCGGCGGCCAGCACTGCATCCATTTGGCGTCGCGCAAGCAGATCGGCGATGCCATCATCCGCTACGAGGATAAAAGTATTCTGCAAAAGTAGCTGCCCTACCCAGCTAATTTTGATATACATATATATCTATATATTATAGTAATATTATCAGTTCCTTGCTAAACATATATATTGCCAATTGTGTGTGAGTTAGTGTGCGTGTGCGTGTGCGTGTGTGTGTTTGCTCTTAGCTTTTAGTAAATTTTTTTGTTACTTTTGTGCGTGACTGTGTGCGTGTGTGTATGTGTCTTGCTTTAAACTGAAACTTGTAATGCTCAAAATAGTAGACAAGAATTGTTATACAATTTAGTGCTCAAAGGGTTGGGCTAGACGAGGGGAAAATGGAGCAGGGGCTAGCTAGGGGTTGGGGCCAAGGAAATTTGTAGCTGCCAACTAACTAAACTTGCTTAAGCATAACAATATATCTATAAATAATGTAAACGTTGTGTATAACAGCTGTATAATAATAGCCAGCATCTTGTGTGTCGCCTTAGCCACTCTCATAATTAAGTAGTCCTATGTAATTATAACTTGCCCTGCAAATTCCTATATATATTAGGTTTAGTATGTATCTAAGTGTTATACTATGTAATACCTAGACATAGTGAAAGTGTGTATAACAAGAGTCTCAACGTAATGCGTGCCTGCTGAGCCAGTATGACTGTGGCCCAACTCTTGCCTAGCCTCTGCACATTGTGGCAACTGTTATACAGCTTTAAGATGTTGATAACTGTTGGATATAAAACACTTTGTAAACAATATCAATTGATATATACCATTTTGAGAAGCCAATAATTGCCAGTACACTGTTATACACAACCACTGTGAACTGTTATACATAATAACCACTGTAAACTGTTATACACATAGCAATAAGCTTTTATTTTAGTTAACTGTTCAATAATGACCAACAGTTATACGAAAAATAGCAATGTTATGCGACAAAAGCACTGTTATACGAACGACGAAATAGTTCTGATTATTGCTGAAAATTGTTAGATAAACAACTTTAGGAGAGTTGAAATAAAAATGTATATGAAAATGCATGTTATACGATAGTCAACTGTTATACTGTTGTAGATATGTGAAACTGAAACATAGCAGCTGTTATACAAGAAGAGACAACGGTGAAATTGAATTGCCAACATGCATGCTACTGTCACTGTTATACAAGTGCCAACTGTTATACCAACTACGTATTTAGAGTTCGAATAAGTAGCGCCTGCCAGTTATACGTTTTAAAGCATTTTGCATTGATTATTATCATTTATATATTTTTTTTTAACATTATTTTATATAACAGATTTTTGTATTTAATTTATTTGAACACAATCAACATATTTTTTGTTATACAACTAGCAAAAGGCAATTCGTATGTAAATAGTTTTTAGCATTGGCAATACAAGAAGAGGATTTTTTGAAGTGTAGTCATAGTTTTTAGCATGATATATATATATATATTTAGAGGATAATGTAAATATAATGTGTGTAGATCTATTACGAACATGCCGATTATATAATCTAGTTGTTATACATATATCAAATAAATGTATGTAAAACAAATTCTTTGTCAATATATTTTGTTGGATATATCTTCAGCTCATATCCATGTCATTCCTTCAGCAGGAAGCTGAGATCCGACTGTGGCTCATATTCCACGGTGCTGCCATCGCTGTAAGTATAACGGTTGTTAGTATAACAGCTGTCTATTGAAAGTTGGTTCAAATTACGGTTTGAAGAGCTTGGCGTTGCGCTCGCCCAGCAGCGTCGCCTGATCGCCCTGGACGCGCAGGCTGGTGCCCTCGCGTAGCCCGAGCACGGGACGTGCATGATAGCTGACAAACTCCTCGATTCTCTCGTCTCGCGTCTCGCCCTTGTGCTGGCTACTGAGGTCCGCGTCTAGGTAGTGTGGATTGATGTTGAAGGGCACCAGACCCAAGGCCTCGAATGTGGGCGGCTGCACGACGGGCATGTCGTTGGTGGTGTGTATGGAGCGCGTGGCCACATTGGTGCCGGCACTGCTGCCCACGTAGGTGAGGCCCTCCTCCAGCACCAGCTGGCGGATCAGTTCGACCAGTTGCAGTTCGTACAGCTGCTTCAGCAGCACAAACGTATTGCCGCCGCCCACGAAAATGGCCTGCGCCTCGCGGAGCGCCCGCCCCGGATCGGGCTTTGTGTGCAGCCCCTCCACTGCATAGCCCCACGGCTGCAAAGCAGCTCTGACGGTTGCCGTATATTTGTCGTGATCCCGCAGGGCGTATGGCACGAAGAGCACAGTCTTCACATTTTTGCTGCAGGAATTAAACGTTCCAATAAGTCAATATTTGATAAGCAGATATTTGTGCTTACGCCTTGAACAGATCCTCCAATTGGGCGCGCGCATGCTCCAAGTAGCCGTAGCCATGCAATCGGGACGACGAGAGCAGCAACAAGTTCCGCGCACCGTTATTCATTTTCGAACGTCTCTTTCACGTAGAATAGCATTTAATCAGTACTTCGGATTATCTTTGCTTTATGGTGGTACTTGGGGTAGGCGATAAGTGAAAACAATACAAATGAACATTCAGATATTTCATACTCAGCAAAAAGTCAACAGTTGAGTGCACAGAACATGCAGCGATATGTCAAGGCCACTATCGACATTTGGCCTATATTTGCCGGTATTAAAAGGGCTTTCTAGTACACCACTGCCCATTGACCGATATAAGCTGGTGTTTTATAAGATACGCCTACAGCGATATATTGGCGTACCGATATTTGCTGGTATTTAATAATTTAAGCATATCGATATATCAAGTAAGCTTTCCTTTGATATCTTCATTCAATAACAAAATGTGTGAAAATGATCGATATTAATTTAGTATTCCAATAAAGATATCGAAGTATCGATATAATTTTTTTAGTATCGGCCTATGAGGCGGGAATTTGAATTTTCGAATCATACGGGCTGTTTAAATATATAAAACATTGAAATAACGAATAGCTACAATTTTATTCAACAAATGTTTCTTTTCATTTTGCTCAATTTAGAGCATAAAAAACCAAAATGGAAACGATTTTTTCCTAGTTTAGGCATTTGTTTGACATGCTTGCAAATTTATTCTGTTCAATTATATTGCTTAAAATGAATTATATATGTATGTATACATAGGTATATGTATGTGTATATGTATATGTATATGTGTACGTAATTGACTGCCGTGTCTCGATGCCACGATGCCAAAATTCAAGCATCTCATAATTAACTAACTTGAATTATTGCATTTTTGTTTTGTTTCTTTAACATATATTATTATTAACAACAACAATTTAATTTAGGGCTGTTGCTTTTTGTACATATTATACATTATGCATATGTATGTGTGTGTGCGTATGTATATGTGTGTAAGTATTTCGGCAGACATAAGTATGTATGTTTCAATAAAGCATTTCAGTTTTTGCTTCATTTTACAGTGAGTTTATATTAAGGTATTTGCGTATAAATTAATTATTATTATTAGAAACAAAAAATAATATTACATATATATATATACATAATATATACGTATATATATATATTTTGTTTGATATACAAATCAACAATAATTACATAAATTGTTGTTTGCTTTCAACATTAATTTAGCTATTTCATGTATATTTGTTAAACAATTTACACATTTTGCTTGGCGTTGTTTTTTCCACTTCTTTGTAATTCCTTCATGTTGCACGGCATTTAATAGTTTTTAATTTAGTTTTACATTTTACAGTTTGACAGCAACTGGGCCGCTCGGCTGCCAAGGCTGAGGCACAGTTTGGTTTTATGTTCTTGTGTTTATATATATAAGTATATATATATAGATATACAGTTTAATGTTGTTTGTATTATTTGTTTCAATTTTCACGTTTCGATCTTTTGAGCGCTGCAAATGTGAAAATTACAATTTTTGCAGTTTATGTAATAGGTAAGGTATATATATATATATGTGTATGTGTATGTGTGTGTGTGTGTGCCCTAGAATTGATTTCGTTTGATTTATACTTAAGCTAACAATTTGATTTGCACGTCTATACATACAGAAAAGGATAGAAATATAGTGAGTGAGAGAGAAAGAAAATAAATCATGCATACACACACACACACACACTCACACACACATACACACACAGACTGATAGAGAGAGGGAGCGCAATAGAAATACATAATCATGTGTACGAGAAAATAGGGAAAGACAAGTAATTTAAAAAAAAAACACAAGCACTTAACACCTACACGCACACACACACACGCACACACACACACACACACACAAAATGCATGTAGAAGACGGCGGCAATTTACATTTTGTTTTTGTTTCGTTTTGAATAGTTTCACATTGAGTAGAGAAGACATGTTGATCCTTGATTAACTCCGCACGCTCTACTCCTACTCCTACTTCTACTCGTACGCGTACTCCTACTCCTACTCCAGCTGCGGTTGCCGCTCTACTGCGACGCCTGCTCATCGGGCAGATCTAATATTCTTGCCACAAACTCGGATATATCCGTGTCGCGCTGTAAATGCTCCACGATAAAGCTGTGCCGCAGCAGCTGCTCGTAATTGGGTCTCGCCGTATATTCCTTTTGCAAGCACGTCGCTATAAAGTCCTCGAACTCTGCGGAGAATGTGCCGGCCGGCAGTCGTGGCGGATCCTCCTTAACAACCTAAGCAGCGAGTGGTGGAGGAGGATAGGAGGGAGGAACATTAGTATTAGCATTGGCCACACCTGGAGCAGCTGCTCCATCTGTCACTCACCTGGCGCAACTGTTCAAAGGGCGTTCGCCATTTGTGATAGGGATATTGCCCGGTGGCCATTTCGATCATGCTGATGCCCAGCGACCAGACATCGGAACGTATATCGTATTGGGCTGGATTACCTTGCGGATCAATACGTTCCGGTGCCATATATGGCTTACAACCAGCATCTATAGTCTTTGCCACAGAATCGACCAGATAGCCTGCGAAGGATAGTAGCATTATATTATCGTATATTAACTCCAATTGCTAACCGATTGGATCAAGAAACTTGTTCTATAGCCGAAAGTTTTTTTTTTTTCAATCGATTTCTTAAGCTAGACATAGGACATTTCCTCTATGGTAAGTAAGTTCTTGATCTATTAATCTTGATCCACAAATAAGTTTACTTCTCACAGTTCCATCTCCATTTGTTTCTTCAGTTTGAGAACTTTTAGCAGTTTCCAATGCTCCGCAGCTGAATTCATAATTCATTCATAATTCTATTTCCTATCCATGCGAAGCCTCTGAATTCCTATATTCATAATTCTATTCCCCATCCATCCATAGACTATTTTATATAGCTCTCAAGCTCCGATGCTCTATAATTATGAATCGTGTAGAATGAAATGAGAGGAGAGGACAGCGCTTACCTGAGATGCCAAAATCACATATTTTCACCTGGCCGCTGCGATTGATCAATATATTTGATGGCTTTACATCGCGATGGATGACCTTCAGCTGGGCATGCAGATAGTGCAGGGCGCTAACCACGCTCATCGCGATCTGAAAGAGTATGCACATATAGAGAGTGAAAGAGATGCAGATAGTAGGCAGATGGATTATGGCTTACTTTGCCGAGCACCGTCTCCTCCATGGTTAGCTGATTTTTGAAGACCTTCGGGTAGAATTTGTCCAAACTGGTGTTCATCACCTCCATGCAGATCCAGACATCGCCCTCCCGGTACATGGCCCCATAGAAGTGGACCGTATAGGGGCAATCGCTGGATCGCATCGATATATCCAGATCCATGATCAGTCGTTGCTGTTCACGGAAGTTCACTGTCATTGGGATGCGTTTAACGGCCAGCACAGTGCCCGTCTGCCTGTGTCGCATCTTCTCTACGATGCCATAGGCGCCGCGTCCTAAATCACAAATCTTCTCCAAACTATCCGCATCGATGTCGAATGTTTGTTCGTCGATTTGTATGGTCGCCCGGGAGTCCAGGTTACGTGGTGGCACACTGTTAACGGCATGTAATGTAACAGTATGTTAGCATATGTTAGCAACAGTATGTATGTTAACAGTATGTTAGCAGAAGAATGATGTGTGGTCAATGTTATGTTAATAAAGTAATTATTTTCGCGGGTGAATGTTAACAGTGTGTAATTTACATTATGTTAACAGAGTACTTATAGTAATAAGGTCAGTATGACATTTGAGGCTTATTCGTTTTGTTTTGACTATTGGCTGGAGCGAGATAGCATCATTAACATAATGGAAATGATTTCTGTGTTTGTTAGAGGGAAACAAGGAGCGTAAAACATAAAGAGCATAAAGAACTTATTTAAAGATGAATCGAGTTTTTATCAATAAGAAATAGTTCAAATATTTTGATTAGGCAGGATTAGTTGAATTTCCAGGGTATACTGAATTCGATCAAGCCTGTACAGCTGTGTGTTATTTTGTTCATAGAGCTAGTTCAATCTGCATGCACACTCTCACACACATGAAAACAAAATGCCAAAAAAAAAACATAGATTGTCTTGCGCACTCTTCGCACACATTAGCTAAACTCTGCACACACACACATATATATATATATAGAGATACGCAGAAGCATAGGCAAAAGCAAAACGAACATGTGTCATAATGTCATAACCCCCAATGCACTTACAATGCCGGTTCCGGCTCACGAGAAATGCCAATGGGTGGGAGGCGCGGACGTGGTCGTGACATTGCGCTCTGTCGTTTAGATATATGTACGTATGCGGATGTATGTGTGAGCGTGTGTATGTATATTTAGGTGGGTGTATGTGCGTGTGCGTGTGCGTCTTTGGCGGCCTGCACTTGCACTTTTTGGATTTATTCACGCGTGTTGCGCTGCACGTTTCGCCTGGTAACTGAAATTATTTGCTCCACTTTTTTGATACTTTTATTGCTGTTGCTGCTGCGGCTGCGGCTGCTACTGCTGTGTGGGTTTTTATTGGGCCGTCGACTGCGAAGGCGACGGCGACGTCGATGGAGCGGCGGCGGCTGATGCTGCTGCTGGTGGCTTTTGCTATTTTTACCACATTTGGTCAAATCGTGTTGTTGAAATGTTTGCCTGCTACGGGTACACTTGCGCGTGTTGAGGAAAAAATGCAGACCAAATGCCGCGCTCGGTGCGGCTCTGACTGTTTTCGTCGCTTAACTTTTCTTTGATATTTAGTTTTTCGTTTTCTTTTCTTTTTCACCCAGCACTCGCGTAGAACTCGTCCTCGTTGAAAACAATACAGTGGGATAATCACAGTGTTGCCAACTCAGCCGTTTCCTGTTCGTTTTTTAATCACATATGATATTCTGGTATTTTATTCGGTCGCACTAGACTGTGTGTTTGTCCTTGAAGCAAGCACGGAAAATGGATCTCTATGATTGTAGCAAACAATTATTGCCTGTCATTCTGTGTAAAACAATAAATTACATTTTTAAAAAGGCTTTCTGTCATGCAACTCAAAGTACAAGGTGAATGTGTGTAAATATTTGTTGCTACTTTACCACAAAATATGTTTAATATATCGATAGATCGATTCATCGTTGCCAGCTGGTTGTTAAAGAGATGAGTGTATTTGCGAACTATGCACATATGGCCACACTTCACACACTATCTTCTTGTTGGTGGTGGACTGTTTCACATTGTTTAATAGGATGTGCATTGCGAATTAAGCAGCAAATACAGCTAATTGTTAATGTGTAATGCAAAAGTGCAAGTGTTCGCGCGCCAGCCAACATCAATTCTAAACATACGCCGCGTGTAACGCTCTAAAGCTTAAAGCGTACGCCTACAAAAACTAACGAGCGCTGCTGCTGCATAAAAAAGAAGGAAAAGAGTGGCGAGCTATATTATTGTTGTTGTTGTTGTTGCGTTCTGCTGTGTCGTGCGTGAGTGCGTGCGTTCCTTCGTGCGTCTCTGTTGTATTTCGTGTCTGTTTTTGTTTTTTGTTTGTTGTTCGTGAAGTCTTTTTTGTTGTTGTTTTGCAACCACGGCAAGTGGAAAGTTCACGCGCACGCATACAAGTGCAAAAGCAGAAGGCACACACACGCACACTTGTGTGTGTGTGTCCATGTGTGTATGCGTGTGTAAGTTTGTGCATATGTGTGTGTCGGCAGCAGCGGCAACCATAAATACAAAACGCTGGGAAAATCGAATTTAAAACAACAACAACCGAACTAGAGAGAAGCAGCAGAAGGAGGAGGCGAAAGAATACAACAACTGTAACAATGTCCAGCACAATCGAATTCGAGACAATTGGCAGTCGGCTGCAGTCGCTGGAGGTGGCGCTGCAGGCGCAAAACGAATCACATGAACAAATCGTCTTATCAAAGCGTGTTCGGCCAACAACAATATCGACAACAACAACAAACACAGGAGCAGCAACAGCGACACCAAACAGTGCAGCGGCCATTAACGCCGCAGCGGCGGCAGCATCACAAGCTCAAACAGCAGCAGCAGCCGCCGCTAGCGCTGCCTCTGTCTCTGCCGCCAACAATGTCGCCGCCGCCTCACCAAACAGACCAGCGACAGCGCTGCCGGTGCCAACGTCGACGTCAGCGTCTCTGTCGTCTGGTATCTTTGCTGGCGGGGGCTTTGCCCCGCCCACCAGGAGTATGCGCCCAACGCCCAGTTTGCCCATACGTAAGTTTAATACATAAATACTTACATACATACACATATGCATATGCATATGCAAGTTCATGTGCTTGTGTGTGTGTGTTGATAAGAAATTGGCGTTTCGATAGATACGATAAACACTCATTTACTCATGTTTGTGTGTAATACCCTCAACAAAGGGCACACGTTATCGATCTCTGTGCTTCGATTGCATAGATAAGCGCACGCTGCGAGCAAAACAAACCAAAAACAACACGAAAACTTGTTTTTCGCCAAATGCAGCGACGCAGCGCCGCAGCAGCGTCAGCATCAACACATACACTTGTCCGCGTCGCTGCCGGCGTTGCTTGCTTTGTGTGTTGCCTTCATATATGTATGTGTGTGAGTGTGTGTTATTGTGTTTGTATCATATTCGCATTGTTTCCTATTGGAATTGTCCCTTAAACTGTATGCCTAAGGACATTTTTAAATATAAATAAATAACAATAAAAACATTTACATATTTGATAACTAAAAAAAAGCTCTAGTAAGTACGATGCACTTGGATTTTATTTCAATGTACTCATAATCATGTGCATATTTCAATTATTAAACAGTTGGTTCAATTAAATATCTCAGCTTTCAGTTTGATATCAAATTGCCATTAAGAAAATCCCAACTAGATCAGTTCGCCAGACTATTTAATGAAACGGAACAATATCAAATCCAATTGGATTTACGACTCCCATGCCTGTTCTGCACAAGTCCCAATTCCAATTAGGCTTGTGCACGCCTTGCACACGTGAGGCTCATTGCAAATTAACGGCAAATGCACTTTGCAGTTCGTTTTTATCTTTCCCGCTCACTCCACACAGATGCTCTCCTATTTAGTGCGTTTCTATTTGTGCATGATGTGTGTGTGTGAGTGTGTGTGTGTCGTCGTCGTCGTCGCTGCTGTTGCCGATTTCATTTGGCATGTTTGTTGGCATTTTTTTTTGGCATTTCCGGAGTAAATGTCTTGATACGCGCACTTCGCCGCGACGGCTGCCGCTTGCGTCGACTCTCGGTGGCATTGTTGTTTGTTTTTGTATTCGCTTTTGGTTTCGCGTTTCTTCACCCGCGCGCACACACATACACACAAACACATGCGCGTATGCCACAGTGAGACAGTGACGGCGGCTGCGGCTGCGGCTGCGACTGCGGCGAACACAGCAGAGACAGCGTGACTCGCGTGAAGATTGCGGCGAAATTTGTCTTCGTCTTGCGTATCATTGCTATTGTTATTGTTATTGTTGTTGATGTCGTTATTGTTTTTATAAATAGTAATATTTCATTTCAAGCAACTGATAAGTAATAACTATTTAACGCTTACAATAACAACAATAATTATAGTCATAATTTGAACAATAACAACGCACTCCATGCCTCTTGCTATTTGTAGTCAATGTAAAGCACAGTTGGTCAAGATTGATTTGTTTTGGATATGTGTGCATATATAATATAAGTAAATATAATGAATACTATATTCTTAAAATTGGAACTGGAATTGGTTTAGTTTCCAGCTGATTTCTTATGTAAATATAATCCAAATCTGAATATTTATAATGTGATGCTCAGTTAAATTGATTATTGTTTTGCTATGGCCACTTTTATTGACATTTGTGGCGTCCTGTTTATAAAACTATTTATAGAAATAGATAAAAATGTTTGGCCAAGCAAATTCCCACGTTTCGAAATCAGCGAAACTGATAGCGTTGGCCTTGAACAGCGAGCGATTGTGTTCGAAGTAAATGAGCTTTGTGTCAGTGTGCATATCATGCTTACACACACATGTACGCACATATGTATATTCGCTTTGTTTTTGACTAACGGTTATTGGTCAGTGTTGCCGTTTTTAGGGTGCAGCAATAAGCTAAATCAGTGCAAATCAAAACAAAGCTAAATTCATATTGAAAAAAGGCTGTTAATACAAAATGGGTAAATTTTAATGTTGAGGGAACTTTAACGGAATTTAGTTTGCGCTCTACACAAAAACTAGCCAAAAACAAGCTACAAGCGAGAAAATTTAACCTACTAAAAATAAAAGCCAAATCTAGCTGGAAAACTTTTGTCGTAGGCAATACAAACTTTAGCTATATTTAAGTTGCATTTTAATAGAACATACATAAAACTAGCCAAAAACAAGCTGAATTGTTTGTTAAAAGCTAGAATTTCATCTCCATACTGGAGACTATAGCTAGATCTAGCTGGAAAAATGTTGACAATGACAACATAAATTGTTAAATTGCAATTTTTACGAATTTATCGCAACCCTAATATGAAAACCTTTCTCACTCATCCTCTCTCTTTCTTTCTGTGCCACTCTAGCTGAATCTGGAGGATCGACGCGACGTCGCATGGTGCTGCCACTGCCCACACAGCTGCATCCTTCCGAAACGGAAACGGATAAGAAGCTGAAGATGATAATGGGCCAGACGGGCAAACTGAATATCAATGGCCATCAATATCCGACAGATATCCACGATCTGCAGCATCTGGGCGATCTGGGCAATGGAACCAGCGGCAATGTGGTCAAAATGCTGCACGTCTCCAGCAATACGATCATTGCCGTCAAACAGATGCGACGCACCGGCAATGCCGAGGAGAACAAACGCATTCTGATGGATCTGGATGTAGTGCTCAAGTCGCATGACTGCAAATATATCGTCAAGTGTCTGGGCTGTTTTGTGCGCGATCCGGATGTCTGGATCTGCATGGAACTGATGTCCATGTGCTTCGATAAGTTGCTCAAATTGACCAAGAAGCCGGTGCCGGAGCCCATTCTTGGCAAAGTCACGGTGGCGGTAAGTGCGGTTCTTAAGCCCAAACAATTGTAATAAAGTGGTGCCAAAGCAATTATGTTATACAACACAGTTTTTTATTCAGGTTAGAATAGGTAAATGCTAGTGTTGAATAACGAAATTTGTGCTTAAAGCTAATATAAATGTGTAGAGCTGTAGCTAAATAGTTAGCTATAGAGAAAGTCAAGTGTACTAAAACAGTGATGTTATACAACACTGATATTTTTATGGTTAGAATAGGTAAATAATAGTGTTGAATAATGGTGGTGCTATATTTTTAGATTAATAGACAGTTAAAAAAGCAGTAAAATAGAACAATAGTGTTGAAAAGTGTCTAAATAATTTACCCTCCACTTCTTAAATATCAAAATAATATACTAGGGTTGATAAAAATACGGAAACATATGGCTTTAGTGCAAAATAGTGTTGATAAATGACAAGCTTTATTAAATTTGGTTGTTTACAACACTAATTTATTATTTATGTGTGACTGAAAACTAGATAGTTTGAATGATAAGTAACAAAAGTGAGCTAGAATTATGTTTTCTGCAGGTCTATAATATTGCACTCGATTTTGATACTTTACAATACTGGTTTTAGTAAAGAACTTCAATTATTGACAAGCTGCAGGTGCGAATCAATTTTAGTGTTAATTGTTAAAACCAATTTATTCTGTATTAAAATTTAGTGATTTCTTCAGACAACTATTACTGTTGTACAACACTGAAAGCTTATTTTCCATCTTTCTCTGTTTCGCAGACGGTCAATGCTTTGTCCTACCTGAAGGACAAACACGGCGTCATCCATCGCGACGTGAAGCCATCGAACATTTTGATTGATGAGCGCGGCAATATAAAGCTATGCGATTTTGGGATTAGCGGACGTTTAGTGGACTCCAAGGCGAACACACGTTCCGCTGGCTGTGCAGCCTATATGGCGGTAAGTCGGGATAATACCAACATATATATATACATATATGTTTATACATGCATCGATATTGAATTACCAAAAACAAATTTCAATGTGCAGCCGGAACGCATCGATCCGAAGAAACCAAAGTACGATATACGAGCAGATGTCTGGTCATTGGGCATATCGCTAGTGGAGCTGGCAACTGCACGCTCACCATACGAGGGCTGTAATACGGACTTTGAGGTGCTGACCAAGGTGCTCGACTCGGAGCCCCCATGTTTGCCCAGCGGCGAGGGATACAATTTTAGTCAACAGTTTCGTGACTTTGTCATCAAGTGGTAAAGTGATATTGACATAGATGTATATATATGTATATATCAACTCATACTGTCTCTCTCTCTCTCTCTCTCTCTCTTGCAGCCTCACTAAGAACCATCAGGATCGACCCAAGTATCCGGAGCTGCTGGCTCAGCCGTTTATCAAGATGTATGAGCAGGCCAAGATCGATGTGCCTGGCTGGTTTCAAAATGTGATGGACTCCGCTGCTGGGAAGCGTATGCGCGCCAATGGTGATGCCACCCTAACGAGGTGAGTTCAACAAGTTCCGCTAGACGAGAGCCAACATTCTCTATATACGTACATACATACATATAAGCCAAATATTCCCGACCCAAGTCCCCGAGCCAGCAAACAAAATATGAGAACAATTTGCCCTTAGCCATTGCCTGCTGTCTGTGTGCCTGTGTGTCCGTGTGTGCGTGTGTGTGTGCGTGCGTGCGTACGTGTGTGTGCGTGGGCGTCATGAACACAACAACAACGCTTCGTTTCAATTGTTTGTTTCCGTTTCCGCTTTTGTTTCATTCCGTTACGTTGCGTTTTCTATTTTGATTTCTCTTCAGCCTAACTCTGACATCAAAAACAATTTCCTAACAGGTAGGCAAAAATAAAAAAAAGTAATAAAATAAAAAAAAAAAGCATTAATAAAACTACAACTAAAAATCGTACCTAATTCTAGGGTGTTTGCTGAAGTTTGTAAACTAAAAAAAAATCTTAAAAACAACTAAGCTTCTCTCTTAACTCCTTCCTATACATAGCAAAAACAGTTGGCATGCCTCTCCTTCGTTCCTTTTATTAATCACACACTCTTCTTAACTATTTTTTATATATTTTTTTATTCCTTCTATTTTACTACAATTTGAGCACATTTCTATTGCCTTTAATTAGCTTTTTAGCTACTTATATTATTTGAAAAAAAAATTAGTTTTCTTTATTTTTTTTGTAACACTTACATTTATGCTAAAGAGTTGCACTTGCTGCGGGCATACTGACAATCTTTCAGGTCCGTTTCATTCCGTTTCGTTTCTGGGATAAAAGACGAAAGCTCGACCGTAATGAGAGCTGCATCTGAGTCCGTTCAATTCAGTCTCATTCAAATCCAAATCGTGTTACGTTTTAGTTTGTTTCATTCCGTTTTGTTCCTAAGCTAGATGAAACATACATCGTGTCTATTTAATTCAGTTACGCATTTAAGCGAACTGTAAGCATTTGTCAGCTTAGCATTCAGTTCCGTTTCATTCCATTTCGTTCCTGAAAAAATCATGCATAACAGATGTATATGTTCTATTTCATTCCATTTCGCATTCAAGCTAAATATAGACACGCCCAGCGAGAACAGTCAAGTAGTAGTAGTGTTTCATTTCATTTCGTTCCACCCGCCAACAAAATCGAGGCTTATCCCATGGACTGTCAGTTTATATAGTGCCATGTAAATACAATATAAATATTTAGCATCGACGTACCCAATCTCTTCTAGAATACCCACACCCAGTCCCCTATACACCCCAATTAGGTATTACGTAGAAACAAGAAACAATAGAGAAACGAATAAAATTCGAATATTTTGCGTTTTATTGACTATTTAATTTGTGTGTTTCTTTTTTGATTTTCTATTTTCATCTTTTTTATTACAATTTTTTGTAGGTTACTTAATTCCTAATATATATATAGAGACATATAAATGTATATATATATATATATAGGTATATATATTTAAATATATATACCTATTATATATAGTAAATGCAAAAATAATGTCAGACAAACCGATTAAAACCAAAAGAAAAACAAAACATAAACTACTACAGCAACAACAACAACAACAACAACAAAAACAACAACCTAATTAATTATAACCGATAATGCAAGAAATCAACATTACATAGCTATATATGTATATATCTCATCGAGAGTATATATGTATATATAAATATAACATTAATTTATATACCCTTACCACGTTATATAATCCAAAAATAAATCGAAAACCATTAAACAAAACAAAACAAAAAAAATCCTCCCAAAAACATAGAAATATATCAAAAGTAATATTCAGTAAGTACGACCGAGTTTTATTATTATTATCATTATAATTATAATTGTTATTATTATTTTGTTTCATGCATGATTTCATTATTTTTCCCAATTGTTTTCTTATTTACTTGTTTTGCTCCTAGTTTATGTTAATTACTAAATTTAATTTTCATTTTGTTACTAATTAATCGATGTATTTCTATTGTTATTCCGCTGCATGTTGCTTGCCGCTTAATATTTCGTTAAATTTAAGAATAACTAAAAACAAAAATATAATGAATTCAACAAATAAAAAATATCGACTTCAAACATCAATCGAGGTAAAATTTTATTTGTTTTTGGTTTTTTTTTTCCTGAAAATTTCGTTTGGTTTTATTTTTAGACATTTTCATCTTCTGTTACGCTTCATAAATGTCTGCAACGCATTCGTTTCGTTCTGTTTCATTCCGTTTCGTTTCGTTCCAATGCCATCACACATTGCACCTACCGCTTTTGTATATATGTTTATATATATGTAAAGTACATAAACATTTGTAGTTTATATCTATGTACGGTCTATATGTATTTATCACGTTTCAGCCTTTCGCTTGTTTCATCCCATTCGTATCCATTAGGCCATTTTCGTTTGTATTCTTGGGGTGTTTTACAGCGCCATCTAGCGTCTCAAAATTTGTTGATCCATTGCATATGTAAAGCAACATTTTGGCAAATGGAGCACTTTTTGGCAATTACGATGGATTTGTGAGGAAAGGGAGGGAGATAGAGACAATTGTACGAGTATATGAAGATACAGAAAGATATTGATAACCAGCCTAAGTGATAATTAACAAAGTTGAGAAAGAGGGAATCGTAGAATCGGCGATTGAAACCTATCGATAACGATAACGATAGCAGGCGAGTAATGTCTACAAGTTTACTCAAAGTTATTATTGCTAAAAATGCAGCAGATTTCAGTAATTATATCAGAAGAACTAGGTCTATCGATATTTATCGATTTTTGTATACTAATTGTGTCTTGATATAGAAAGTATAATCGTTAGATCTTACTATATAGCGATAGCTCTAACAGGTGGTATTATCCAAGTATCGTCAAGCCAAACTATCGTTAGTTATCGATTATGTTAATTGGAAGGATTAAAGTTAATCGCTGTCAAAAGGTTTTACAGTTTTAGCAAAATCTAGATCTCCCCTCTCTCTCTCTCTCTCTTGCTTTCCTTGTTTAGTACGTTGCTCCCTTGTTCATTCATGCGCTTCACTCTCTCATTGATCTCGCTAAGCTTACATACATATATACATATATGTATATATATATATGTCATATATCCCATCTAGCATATGCCCATTAATTACACACACACACACACACACACACTCGTTAATACACACACATACACATGCCTCCTGCTTTCACTCACTCGCATTACACACAAAACTCTATCTCTCCCTCTCTCTTTCTGCCACTCTCTCTCTCTCTCTCTCTCTCTCTGTCTCTTGCTCTCTTTGTGTCTTTTTCACTCTTTCGCTGCCATGCTGGCGTACATTTTGTGTGTGTGTGTGTGTGTTTTCGTTTGATTATTTTGTGGGCAGCAATCAATAACACATTCGCATTACTTGCAGAGCAACAGCAACAGGAACAGGCACAACAACAACAGCAGCAGCAGCAGCAGCAGCAACACGCGCCAAGGAAGCTGCAACATTGTATGGAAGAACTGCAACGGCAACAGCAACAACAGCAGCAGCAGCAGCAGCAACCACGCGTAGTCCAACGCAAACACAAACGCTGAAGACAATAAAACCCACACAGATTCCAAGCTACCAGCAGCAGCAGCAACAGTTGCCGGTTACGCAGTATTTCATACAATCAGCCACACAACTACCTCAACAAACAGCAACATCAGCAACGGCGGCGTCAAACACATTGAACTACTTCAGCAGCGGCGGCAGCGGCAGCAGCAGCAGCGGCGCCAGTCCGCTGTCGCCGCCGTCAAGCGCTGCTGTCACTGTTCCGGCTGCTGGCGGGCACAATGACATTGGCAAGCTCTATCGCAAGTCGCCTTTCATGCAGCGCAAGCTGAGCAATGGCTCCCACTACAAGTACAGCGACGAGAGTCCCAAGAAGGAGTCTGTTTTCAGCAGCATAGGTATGTGCATCTGGCATCTGGCATATGACATATGGCAATTAGCTAACGCCTTTTGGTCTGTTGCAGGTCAATCGATTTTACGCAATTTAACCTCATCGCCGTTCAGCCAGAAGAAGCATCAGCCCATTGTGACAGCGACAACACCAACGGCAGCCACACCAACAGCAGCAACAGCAACAACAGCAACAACAGCAACAACGCCAACAACACTGCCGCATCACAATAAGAAAGTGAAAACGCCCACGGAACTGTTGGCCACGCCCAAATGGCGACTGCCCCACGATACCTGTGATAGTAGAATTGATAATGTCAACTTGGCGCTCAGTTCACCCACGCTGCAGCGCAAGCATCTGATAATGGAGCAATCCACAGCGACAGCGACAGGAACAGGCACAACAACAACGTTGCCAACAACATTGCAGCTCAACAATCAGCAACAACAACAGCAACAACAGCAACAGCTGCAGCAGCAGCGATTGCAGCCGGGCAATCAAAGTCCCATAGGTGAAGGGCATTTAGTATATAAGTTATACAATATATGTATATGGAAAACCTGCTTTAAAATGCGTACTACAGATTGTTGTTGTGTTGTAAAGATATATACATAGATATATGTCTATAATCTGTAAATCAGTTTAAGCAGATTCTCCATGTGTCGCAGTAAACTCAGGTTGCAGGTCTTGAAAGTAGTTCTATATTAGTTTACCTTATAGTTTATAATTCGCTAAATAATTAATTATTTATCCTGCACACATTGAAAATGGAAAATCGGGTTATAATGGATTTGTTAAAAGTGTGTAACAGACAGAAAGAGGCGTGGCAGACCTTACAAAGTGTATATAATCTTGAATAGAGCGACGAGCTGAATCTATTTAGCCCTGCCAGTCCGTTCGTCTGCCCGTTTGAACGCGTCAATCTCAAAAGATATAAGAGCTAGAGACTTGAAATGTTTTTTTTAGGTCCGTGTATACCACGCGCATATAGAGCTTTTCTTAAAAAATCGATAACTTGTGCCGTTATTTAGTTATCGATTCAAAATATGATCGAAAATCAGTAATGCATTCATATCTACTACATCTTTAAAACTGGAGACGCCTAATTTTAAATGTAGATTTATATGTACTTTATAGAATTTCAGACTTTAGATGTTAGCTCCAAACTTCACTTGTAAGCTCTATTTCTAACTATATTTGATTGTCTTGTTGCTCTTTCTTCATTGTTACTTAGATAATTTCCATGTCTAGTCATTGTCTCTAACTCAAAAACTCTCTCGCTTTTCGTATTTTCCCAGTTCCCTTTTAGTTGTTCTATTGCAATTTGAAATGCTTTTGTTTTATGTATTCTCACTCTCTCATTCTCACGCTCTCTCTCTCTCTCTCTCTGTCTATGCAGTGTTGCAGCGCTTCTACCATCAACAGAATCAGCTGCGCGAAAAAGAAGCAGCCGAGCGGCAACAGCAACAACAACAACAACAGCAGAAGCAGCAGCAATTCCAACAGCTCCCACAACATTATCAGATGCAATCGCAATCCCAACAGCTTCCACAGTCCCATCAGTCGCCGGAGTTGTATCACTTTCTGCAGTCGCCGCCGGCGCCGGCGCCGCCGCTGACGCCAACGATGCTGCGCGCTGCGCCGGCTGCAGCCGCTGCGACCAGCACCAATCCGTTTCACAGCAACTATGTGGCGCCACCGTCGTCGCACTCCACCTCTAGTCAATCCTCGACGCAGTCGACGTGCTCCCAAATAGCCAGCGCAGCGCCCGCCTCTCCCTGTGCCACAGCCGCCGGACACTTTGGTGTGGGCACTGCGGCCCAACTGCAGTATCAGCCATTGCCGCTAACGCCCACTACAGCAGCAGCAGCAGCTCCAGCAGCGGCAGCAGCTGGCGACAGCAGCAGCCAGCCCCCCAGCAGATCGCCCGAGCAGCTGCCGCCGGACTATGGCACGGCGCCAGTAGCTGGCAGCAAGCTGAGCAAATTGTATGCACGTCGCCAGCTGCTGGGACAGCAGGCGAGCAGCAATCTGGAAGCCAGAGAGCAGCAGCAGCAGCCGCCGCATCTCTACAGCACGCAAACGGATGCCGGTGAGTGGAGCAGACAGAAAGCTGCTCGCTATGTTACGCACTATTGCTATGCATCATGATCTTTGCGCTTGAATTTGTTTGAGTTTGCGTTCGCTTTGTTATTTGTATATATCATGAAATCATTGCAAATGAAACTTGTGGGTATTATGCTTAAGTGTATATATGTGTACATAATATAGTCCTTGTCGGGCCTTGTCCTTCGTCCGATCGGAATTGAAGATTTGAGTGTGGTGCATATCTAGTTCTAGCGATAACAATCGAAACAATCAGCTTAGTTGATCTATCCACGTTTGTATATCTATATGATTTCAAGAACTTGAACTTGATTGTATATACATTTAGTGTATAGCTATTTCAAATATAAAATTGTCATATCGATAGCTCACTGAACTTCGATAACAATCGAATCGATCAGCTTAGTTGATCTATCCATGTTTGTATATCTATATGATCTAGCAGACTTCAACTTGAATATACATATATTTAGTATATAGCTAGTTCAAATATAAATCTGTCATTCCGATAACTTACTGCACTTCGATAACAATCAAATTGATCCGCTTCTTTAAGCTGGTACTGATCTGCTATGTGAACTCGTAAACCACTAAATGGCTTTTCAGAGCCTCATATAGGGTGGCCAAACCAGAGTGTTACTACCTAGTAATATGATAGTTTCAGTTATCGATAACAAGTATACTTGCAAATTCAGTTATCGATAACAATTAGACTTTGCAAAATTGGCCATTTCATCATGAATTGTAGGACTTAATAGAATAGGGTATCAGCAGAGAGTCCTCATATAGGATCGACTGAGCTGATGCACTCTCAGCTGAGCAGATGTGTGTAAATGATGTGCTATAGCATACCCAAGGCTACAAATTAAGAATCTAATGATGTGCTAAGTCATACGCAAGGCTATAAATAGAGCATAGAAACATAATCAGCAGGCATATCATAAGTTCAGGCCAGATTATGCTTCACTTCCATAACTTTTGCTATATATGGTCACCCTAAAAACCATGTTTTATCAAGAACATAGTTGGCTATGTGCATGTATGTGTGTGTGTGTGTGTGTGTGTGTGCGTATATATGTATGTCAAAACAAAGTTTAGAATGTCTGACAGTTTCATGAGGAGGAGGGCAGGGTATCTGCTGGTCGTGCATAGCCGACCAGAGCACTTTTATCTATGTTTTTGTGTTTGGCTCTCAACTAATTCTTTGGCTCGCTTGTGCGCTTTTTGTTTATGCTCTTTCTCTTTGTTTACACACACACACACATGCACACATGCACACATGCACACACATGCACGCTTGCACCACACACGCACCGCACATCAATCATGAATCCATCAATCAAACAGGCTGGTTCAATACACTCGCCGGCGCCATGAAGCGACAATTTGCGACCTATGTTAAAACCCAATTGAATTCCACAGCGACGGCCCAGACGCTGGCCAATGGCAACGAACAGGAGTCGGCGCAGCCACCAGCGCCGCCAGCCTATCGCAGCCTAAGCAATAATGGCACCAACACCACCAGCGGCAGCTACAACCACAACCACAATGCGACAGCCAAAACGTATTATTATCGCACGCTGTCGGCGGCGAGCAGCAACAGCAGCAGCCACAGCCAGAGCCAGAGCCACAGCCACAACACCAGCCAGAGCACCTCGCCCACTACGGAGCCACTGACGGGCACTGCGGCGGTGGCGCATGGCATTGCTGGCGGCGGCGGCGGTGGCGCGCCGACGGCGATGGCGACGAGCGGCTTCCTGCGGCGCTATGCCAGCAGCGGCATTGTTGCCGGCAACCACAGCAGCGGCAGCAGCAGCACACCGCCCAGCCCACACTTGCTGGCCGGACTGGATAGGCGGCATCGCAGTCCGGATCCGCCGCCGCGCTACAATCGCGGCCAGTCGCCGCTGCTGCTGCGCAAAAATCTGCTCGAGCTCAGCGGACAGCCGGCGGGCTCACCGCTGCTGCAGCGACGGTGAGTATTGAAGCAATTGACTCTGGGAGTCTTCAAATTGATTAACTCACTCGCCATTTCAGCTATGTGTCGGCATCGCCGCCCTTGCCGCCGCCGCGTCGCGGATCGGAGAGTGTGCCCGGATCGCCGCAGCATTTTCGCACGCGCATCCATTATACGCCCGAGCCGCAGCGACGCATCTATCGCACCATAGATCAATGAGTAGCGCTGCAAATAATGGTCATGTGATGTTGGTATGGCTTTGATGATGTGGCCGACGAGGAGGCGGCACAGGCAGCAGCAGCAGCAGCAGCAGGAGCAGGAGCAGGAGCAGGAGGAGGAGGAGCAGCAGCAGCAGCAGCAGCAGGAGGAGCAACGGATGCTAGACCAGCGGCAACGTCTAGACGCTCGCTGGACTTTTAAGCAGCTAGCAAGAACCAACAACAACAACAACAACCAAAACAATAAGCAATAACAACAGCAGCAGCTGTGCCTAGGCAACAACCAACAACCAATAACAACAACAACAACAGCAAACGAAAGTGTTCAAAAGTCGTATATATACATATATATATTAGGCCGTAGTTACATACGGCTGGCGTCTTCTAATTGATTAATTCAAACTAGTTCACAACAACAACAACAAAATGTTTTCTTTTTCGATTGTAAATGTTGTTGTTGTTTTTTTTTTTTTTTTTTTTTTTTTTTTTTTTTTTTTCAATAGCATGCGAGTGTGTGTGAGTGTGTGTGCGTATGTATATATATGTATATGTATATAACATGTTTTGTTAGTCAAGTCAAAAACAAAAAAAAAAAAAAACAAAAAAAACTATATAACTGCAATAGAGCCATATAGCAAATATATATACATACATATATCTGTATATCGCTATATATTTATATATAAATTTTGTTCTTTCAAAAAGCAGCTTATTATATACTAAACACACTTCTATATATACACATATATACATATATATATATGTATATATGTATGCATTTGTATACAAATGCTGAGACAACAATAATAGTGCAATAGTTGAATATTTCCTGAGCCAAGTTTTTATCGATGATTTTTCTTGACCAAAACTATATAGACATTGTCATAAGAAATGAACAGTTATATCTGAACTATATTCAAAACTATATAAGTACACATAAATATACATATATATATATATACAGATATATATTGTATGTATGTTTATATGCAGTTGATTTGTATTACGTATTATTTGTTTTGTTATCAAAATAGAATTCTTTCAAATCAAGTTCCTTAGCTTACTTACCTTATGTAATGCATGCATACTATATATACATATATATATGTATATGTATATGTATATGTGCTGCAGCAAGTTTTTACCAATTGTATGAGTGCGTGTGTGTGGGTGTGTGTGCAGCTTAGCGACCTCAATGTTTTGTTCCTGTGCGTTCATAACAAAATTAACGAATAAATTATTTAATTTTAGCCCAAAAATCAAACAAAAATCAAAACTTATTCCAAATTGTATATTAATTGTTTTCTAAATAATTTCTATACAATTTGATTTAAAAAAAAAAAAAAAAAAAAAAAAAATAGTATATATATATGTATGTATATATGTAAAGTGTATGATTTTGCATTTGCTGTTTCTAATCAAAATCCAATTTAATTTCCTCTCATTTTGCTCTTTGTAAAATTAAAAAATAAAAAGGATAAACAAAAGTAAATATAACATTTTGAAGTAATAATAATAATGAAAAAGTTAAATTTATTTGTACGTTAATTTATTAAACAAAAAAAAAATAAAGAAAAACAAACAAAAGTAAAAAATAAAATAATTAAATGATGTATTTCGACTGATTTATGTGTTTAAAGTTTAAGCTTTTTGGACTATATACTTATGTATGTATATGTGTACATATATGCGCATCGGTCTGTAGGTCTAACTTTTAGTTGTATCCCCAATCCCCCCTCCCTATACATATGTATATATATAGTATATGGTATATACACATACACATACATATATATGTATATGCATCTGTATTAATTATGTAAATTATATATGAGAACGATGAGAAAGTAAATCAACAGAATCAAATGAATGTAAACTCTTATGAATACCAATAATACTATAATAACAATAATGCTAATGATAATGATAATGCTAAAAAACAATAATACGAATTGTAATAATTAAAGTATATAATTCAATTCAATAAAATGAGAACGGATCTAAAGCAAACCCTCAAAATGAAAAAAAAAAAAATCAAATATCGTTTCTTTTCTTGTTTATAGAGAGATTACAGCTCCGATTTCAAGCATTCCAGTTCGTCTTAGCTCCTGCTGTTCCAATTCCAATCGTTTCGCATAAGCAAATCATATCAAATATTTTATCCTGTAAGCACTGTTCCAAATTCAAGCGTTCCTCTTCATATACAAATCCTCGATGCCAAATAGAAAACAATTTTTTGCTTTATTTTTTCAAATCAGTTTAATTTCATATATATGTATATATAATTTATATATATATAGCACACATATACACATATATAATTACATATATAGGTTATATCAATTTCAATTTAGATTCTGGCTTATCGTGTAGACTGATAATATGCGTATGCAAATATACATATATATATATATATACATGTATATATATAGAGCATTTCTTTTGGATGTATATGTAAGCTTAAGCTTCTAAATTATACACATATGTATAGTAATTTCCCAGACAGTAATTTTGTTTTTGGTTGTAGCAAGACATGTAGCATGTGTGGCATGTAATCGTGTATATATGTATATGTATATGTATGTATGCATGTATATAATTTATATAGATAAAGTCGTCTGAGCTTTTGCAATGTTTCTTTATTTTCTGGCAATTACAACATTCACTTAGTTTTTTTTTTTTTTTTTGTAGAGTATTCGGTGTGAGCTTAAAAATCTTATTTTGTTTTTTCAGTGGTTTGGTTTATGGTTTATGAAAAAAAAAAAAAATCGTCTCGAGCATGTTCTGTTCCTATTCCAAATTCAGTTGCGGTTTCTTATTCTGTTGTCTCTTAACTTTCTTCCTATTGCTGTTCCATTCTCCATTTTGTTCCAATTTCATTCGTTTGCTAACGTCATTTCCGTACTGTTCCTATCTATATACCTTTTTCCTATTTAAATGTCTATACCTGTTTCTGATATCTTGCCGTTTCCATTCCATGTATGCCCCTATTCATATTCGTGTTTCTCTCTCTGTTCCTCCTATTTATTTTTATTTCTTTTTTGTTGCTATTTCTGTTTCAAATTCTACTCCCACATTTGTTTGTTTTCCTATTTATGTTCATGTTTCTGTTCCTATTTTCGCCCCTATTCCATTCCACTCCATTCCATGTATGCCCCTATATATATGCCTAGTTTTTTTTTTTTTCGTATTCCTCTCGCTGTTCGATTTCTGCTCTGAATTCTACTGCTTTTCTTATTTCCTATTCCTGTTTCGGTTCCTCTTTCCTTTTCCATTCCTCCATTTTCAATACCTCTTACTAGGTATGTTGCTATTCTCTATTTCCATTTCTGGTATAGAACATGTCGAGCCTGGTTAAAACCAAAGCTTCGCTAATTTTCAGCCCCTTCTATCAGATGTTTTTCTATCAGATTTCAAGAGTTTCTCTATATGTATGCAATATTTACTATGTTCTGAATATGTTTAAACGTTTTTGGTTTTTGGTTGTAACACAGCACGGCACAAACACTTAGAAACACTTTTTGGTTGCAATTATGCAAAATATGTTCTTTGGTTTTCGAATTCAGTTATCTTCTTTGTTTAGTTGTTGTAATGTATGTGAATAGGTTTCTATCAACGGCTTGATTGGACTTAACTATATATATATATATATGTATATCAATTTTCTGCCTAACCTCAGGTCTTCAGTTTTTATTTGAAATATCTTAACTAGCTATATATATATATATATATATATATATATATATATATATATATTTTGTTTGTTTACAAATATGTTCCATTCAGTTTTGTATCGTTTTGACAACGAAAGAACGAATTGAATTTTCCCCCGGCTGTTCCATGTATTTTTTTTCTATTTATTGGTTTGATTCCAAGTTTAACTACAATTCTTAAGTTCTATTTCACATTGATTTCCAAAATTTAAAATGCTGTTTGACTGTCTCATTCCACTACGTTCCAGTATGGCCTGTTGTGCTTGTCGAACCCAAATATTTGTTGTTGTTGTTGAAACAGTTTCATTCCATTTCGTCTCTAGCTAATTTACATGTTGCATATGTTTTATTCAAGTGTTTTTATTTTGTTTTCGTCTTATGTTTTGTTTCACATGTTTCGCTCAGCAAACTAATTTTGATTTTAATTGTATTTTGAACTGTTTCATTGCCACTGTTTCATATGGTGCACAAGCACACATAGTTGGAGATTTTTTTCTTCTTTTTTTTTGTACACTGATTCGACTAGGATTTAGTTAATTGTGTCAACTGTTTTGTTTTGTTTTTGTTTTTCACATTGAAAGCGTTTTTTCTTCTTCTTCTTTGACTGCTGTTATGGCCTATGGTTAAGTGTTTGTAAGCATATGCCCAGCGCTGTGCTGGCTGGCAGACATCGATATAGATATATTTATATACATACACACACACACATATACATATATACATATATATATTAATACTATATATAAAAAAACTGTTGTTGTTGTTGTTAGGTATGCATGTATTTAATTTTGATATACACATTTGAACCGTTAAGTGAAACCCTTTTTGAAAATGCTGCCGTTACGTTATTTCAATTTTGTTCAGATATATACATATTTATATATATACACACACACACACATACATACATATATTTCTATATATATATATATATCCATATAGCACACATATGTTATTGTATTGGAACAAACAGACATAGACTTAGTATGTATTGCCATTGAGATGCCAGCAACCGAAAGTACTGCAAGAGAAGCACATATACATATACACACACACATATATCTCTCTCTCCCTCTCTCTCTCCATATATATGTATACACATGTATATCTATTTAGATCTAGAGCAGGTATACTATGAGCACGTGTTCGGGGTATTCAGAGAACGTTTTCACATTCCAAGTAAGCTAAGAGTTAATCGGCTTTTAAATTCATATCAATTATGTTTCTGGGAAATGTACCTGGTACACTTACCAGGCACTTTCACATTTAGTTCTGAATTGCTTTCCAGTCTTGTTAGACAGTGTGGCCAACACTTGTCTCCCTAACATGATTCACAAACCAAGCAAACAAAAAAAAAAAAAAAATCAATGAAGTTATCCGGCTAAATTACCAGCTAGTTTGACATTTGGTTTGAAAGTGCCAGTCTTTGCCAGGCACCTTAAACCTCTAGTTCTGACCAGCTGCCAGTGAACAGTGAACGAAGTAGCCTTGAAGCCTAGCCTAGAAAACTTGACAACGAAATAATATCTAACTTCTAAGCAACTAACATGAACTTTAACAGGTATTTCAGCTGCTGGTAAACTAGTAACACTTAAGGACAGGCAATCGGAGCATTTAACACACGCACTGTGGAACATTTAACACATTTTCTTAGTAATTCACTATATGTAGTATTTTTTGTGTGTGGTATTTGTGGTTGCATAGTTAGAGCGATTTCATATAATGTATAATAAGTCAATTGTATAGCTTGAGTATATGTATGTATATATATATATAGGTCTATAGCTAACTTGTATATATGCACACACAGAGTACATGGCTAGCCATTATCATTATTATTTGGTATTTTTAGTATTAAAAAAAAACAAACAAAGTTATTCAGTTGAAAATTGTTTTTTTTTTTTGTTTTAACATTTAAATACATATACGAGCGACATAAACGTATGTCTATATGTACATATATATACATATATATGTATGTATATATATACATTTATTTTAAGTATTGTTTTCTCCATTTATTTGTTAGGTTATGTTTGGTTTGCCAAAAACTTGGTAGAGCTTACGTTTTCAATAACATTGATTAAAAAAAATTTTTTTGTTTTCTTTTTTTTTTCATTTTCTTAAGTCTTTGTTTTACATCAGTAAGCGTTTTTTTGTTGTTTGTTTATATATTTTATTTGTGGTATTTTTTTGGTATTTTTTCTACGGATATGCCAGTTTTTTTTTTGTATTTTTTTGTGAGGGTATCAAAAACGTTTGCTTTGTCTACATTTCATGTAAATGTCAAAGCACTCCTCTCTCTCTCTTTCTCTCTGTGTTCCTAGCTCTGGCATATTCTCGTACTATACATAGTTACAATAGGTTACATATACAAACATATATATATGCATGTGTAAATATATATATATATGCCTATATATACATAGATATACAATTAATCGTAGGTAATACTTGGTAGAAAATTCTGGTTGATTCATTTCTCGTTTTGGCATTTTGTCATGCGGGGTGAATGTAAGAGTTAACAATGTCAGCTTCGATTTGGATGGTTCTCTTTGTTCGGCTTCTCAGGGCGCTTTAGAGCGGTGGGTTAGAGGCACACACACACATACATACATACATACATACACACACAGACACTCACACACACATGCACATTCATTCATAATATCCTTGCAGTATTTTTTTAGCGCTGTAGCTCCCAAAATATACGAACTAGGTTGGAATGATGGAAATGGAATACTGCAGTGGTTTATGACACGCCCTGCTTCAAGATGATAGCTGCTAACATGAGGCATTCATTCCAGGGGAATGCATGGAAATGGCACAGCAATTGACATACTTTTCAGATAGGTACTTTTCCTGATGGCTAATGTGATACGTGAGTGTAAACGTTGCGCTCAATCTCAATTGTGAGATAGGAACATATGGAATCGGAACATCTAGTGTTTTTCGAGCAGACCGGAAGACTCTTTGGATCGGTTACTAAATGTGCTTAAATTTGTAATTTGAAGTTGTGTGTACATATTTTATATTTATTGAGTGGACCATGTGGAAATGAACCATCACATCAGGATTTTATAAGTGTTAAAAGATAATGTATTGCTGAACATTGACAACAACGACAACGGAACGAGGTTTACCAGGTTCATGGATAACACCTATAAACTTTTTCTTTAGTCGGAATATGTAACAACAGCACATTTATAAGGTGGAACATGCGGAGCTGGAACACTATGTCAGTTTCATGGATTTGAGAGTTCGTTGAGGTCTTTGAACATTTGTACACTTCCATAATTGCTAAGCGGAACATGTGGGAATGGAACAGTATATCAGGTGTATGGGCACTGGTAATGGATGTGTGAGGTCTTTGAGGCTTTTGCTATAGTCTCAATATCATTATAGTTGTACATTTGCTAAGTGGAACATGTGGAAACGGAACACATTATTAGGCATATACATCAATTACGTACGTTGAAGCCTTTTCTACACTTAGAAATCCCTCAACTGCGGCTTATTCATTGGAGGGAACATGTGGAAACGGAACGCCAGGGCTTACACTAAATATATAGATGTCTATTGGTTGATTCATTATATTTTTGATTACTTTCCTCATCAGCTGCAAGAGTATTGCAACTTCGGCTTGCCAAAGTTCGTCTGTGCTCTTTTTTTTTCAATTTTTTTTTTTATTTTTATATATTTTTTTTAATTTTTAATTTATTTTTTATTGATTTAGTTTTTGTTGTTGTTGCTGTTGGATGCTGTTTGTTTTTTGTTTAGTAACGCCGACCGCTGCCGCTGCTGCCACTGGCGCAGCCACCGTCGCTGCTGCCGCTGGCTCCGTCGGCGGCCCAGCGCTTCCGCCTGGCCTCCTTGGCCGCCTGCATTTGGGCGGCGACGCGACTGGTGCTGGGCGCCATATCGAAGCTGGCATACAGCTCCACCTCATCGTCGGTGGCATCCCGAGGCGTCTGCTGTTGTTGCTGCTGCTGCTGTTGCTGCTGCTGCTGTTGCTGTTGTTGTTGCTGCTGCTGTTGTTTCTGTTGCTGCAGTTGCTGCTGATGTTCAAGGGCAACGGCAACGGAGGCCATGGCATAGGCGCGCGCATCCAATTGTAAGGTGATGCCGCTAGCAATGGAGCTGGTTATGATGCCTCCGCCACCGCCGCCGCCGCCGCCACTACTAGCAGCAATTGGCGTTAACAGTCCGGTGGTTTTGTAGTCGGTATCCGCGGTGGTTGCGGCAGTGGATAGGGCTAGCGCCAGCGGCTGTTGATCCAAATCGAAACTCACATTCTTACTGTCTCATCCACCCCGATGGACTTGCACGTTGGCCTCGGCGGACTCTTGCTGACGCAACTGCTGGCGGTACGCATCCAGCTCGGGCATCCGATAGGTGCCCAGATTCACCTGCACCATGAGCGTCTCCATGATCCGTTCGTTTTTCATCGATTTCGATGGCAGCACTACGGTGAGCAGTTCGCTGGGCGAGATGCGGCACAGGTTCAGGTCGCGCGTCAATCTCTCCATGATGCACTCGAACTCGAACTGTGTATCCTTGTTGGGATGATTCTTCAGTTTGGCCACCTTGTGCTGGGCCCAGGCCAGCATCGCCTCGAATTTGCGTATCTCAGGCGTCTGCAGCTCACGGCACATTATCATCTGCACCATCGACTCGGACAGATTGAGAAACTCCGGGCACTTGAACAGAGAGTGCGCCTTGCTCTCCACGAACGACAATATCATGTTGACCAGCTCTGAGGCGGATGTGTAGCGCCAGTAGTAGTTCTCCAGCGATATCAGCATCGGACAGACGACCTCGATGCGCAGGAACTGCTTGCAATGATGGAAGCATGCCTGCAGCAGCTCCGGCAGATCGTAATGTTCCGCGGCACACAGTAAACCTGGAAGGGACGCAAAATAGAAACAATCAATTCCAATATCATTTAATTGTCTACTCTGTTCTTTTCCCATCGTTCCCACTAATCATTCAATAAAGTAAATGTTTTTCAAAGATGAAAATTGAGTTGAAGCGTGGGTATCTATGTTATGCGTCGTCTTGTTCCTTTCTCATCGTTTCATTTACAATCTAACAATATTCTTATATATGAATCTTATATGTTCCTCTACCATTGTTCCCATGAGAATATAAGAACGATTTTCTGCTCCTTACCAAACTATGTCCCATTCCCAACGTTCCCACTATAGTCTAACACAGCTTGAAATAAAATGTTAGCGTAACACAGATATTTTCTTCATTTTATATGCATTTTTTCTTTTCTACAATGTTCCTTTCCCATCGTTCCAATTGGAATGCTACCATGTAAGCAAATAAACAGAGTATAAATGCATATTCTATTGTTTCAGCTGGCGTTACGAATAAAAACTAAGTCATTCTTGTCTCGTTCCTTTCCCATCGTTCCTAGTACAGTGTCATTTAATTTTCAGTAATATTTTGATTAAAAACTGATGCCTTAGCATAGAAAGGTCGTTTTATTTACTCGTTTCTATTTATACTGTTTCATTTCCACCGTTCCTATTACAACCAAAAACATATTCAAATTCGATTTGTAAGTCACTTTTAAGTCTAAAGAGATTACAGATATGTTAAAGATTCGTGTTCAGTGCCTTTTGTTTCTCAATTAAGTCTAGCCCACGCAGGAATTCTGAATGCTTCACAATTCACTTTCGCTCACCTGGTATGGAGACACAGGTCAGTGGACAGGTGCCCGTATGCAGATAGTCGAGCAGCACTCTAAACGTATCCGGATCGAATTCGATGATGTTGAATTCCGTTTGGGCCAGCTTGGCGCGGTCCACCTTTTGGGCGTCGGCACAAACGGAGAGGCGTGGCACGGCCAATTGATTGCTGCCCGGTTTATCCTTGTCCTTGTCTTTGCTATCTCTGTCTGCCAGGTTTTCAAGTTGTTTTTGTGGTTGTACGGTTTGGTTTGGTTTTTTTTTTTTTTTTTTGGTATTTCGGTATTTTGGTTTTTCGTTTTTTTTTTTTTTAATTTATTTATTTTTATGATGGTTGTGGTATTTTTTAAGGTTTTGTTTTCGGTCGCGAGATAATTTAAACAAAATGAAAATGGAAATTAAAATGAAATGTAAATCAAATTGAAATGCGAAATTAAATTAATTGCGGGCAGTTGGATAATTCGCACGATTATCAAGAAATCAAGTGGGAGAGAGCAAGATAAATGGAGAGCGAGCGAGATAGAGCGAGAGAGCGTGGAAAGGGAGATTGGCGGTTGGGCAGGCGCGTTGGATGGAAAAATGACAAGAATTTCGATTTTTGTTTCATTAATTTGATGAAATTTTTGTTTTTGTTTTATAGAATAATCAATTTGAAAGATGGTACAAGATTGTAAAGAAAGAGAGAGAGAGAGAAAGAAAGAGAAAGAGAGAGAGAGAGAGAGAGAGAGAGCAACAATTGCAGTGTGTTGAATTATGTAAATTTTTTGTTAGTTAATCCGAATTTCAGGCA